AGGAACACTTTTGGATGGGGGGGCTGGAAATTAAATTTATAAATTCTATATAGCCTATGATAGATAATTCACCCTTTATAATGATTAATGTCATGATTATTGATATAGTTCAGAATACTCTAATACTGTATATTAATGTTTTTTTATTCCATGTTAATACATTTATTTTGCATTTATAGAGTGTCATTTGCCACCACTAAACTGGGGCATCTGGATAATTATTTATCCTTATGATTTCAGTGACCTTTGACATGTGAGCTCCAGCCATGGCAGGTGCCGAGAACATGTTTTTCACTCCTTTGTTACTGGTCACTTCCTGTAGCCCGTTAGCCCATAGATAGATACTTTATTGTCCACTACTGTGGCAATTTGTCTTTGGCTTCTCCCATAGAAGTACAACATAAGCAAAACATAAAGGTCACATAAAATCACAACAACAGTATGTGATACATAAATACAGTGAATGGATAATTAAATAGGTAGTGGGGGACTATACGGTATTTACATACTGTACATTCATTGAGCAGTTTTATTGCAGAGGGGATAAATAGTTTTTTATAAATGTTTTTATTTGAATTCAGTACCCTATACCATCTTCCTGACGGGAGTGTTATGAATGGAGAATGGAGTGGGTGTGTGGAGTCAGCTGTAAAGCTCTTTTGTCTTGGTCACATTTGTTTCCAATGCTCTGGACTGGCTCGAGTTTTCAAGAATACTGATGTTTTTAAAGTTTGCTCGCCCAGGGGTTGGTCCCACGAGAACCATGTCACCTGCATATTGAATCAGACTGGCTGTGCTACTCTGAGTCTGCACCTTATTAGTACTGTACATGTTGAGAACAGAAGAGGTGACAGTACACAGCCCCGGGGGGCACCTGTATTTAAAACCAGTTCATCTGATAATACACCGTTCAAGTGGACTCTCTGAGGTCGATCTGGAAGGAAATCTTTGATCCAGCATACAACATTCCCATTCACATTTTAGTCAGAAAGATGCTTTTTGCCGTGATACACTATTATACCTTCAAGATTTTTTTATTTCATTTTGTATGTGTTTTCAGATGAAGAGCAGTACCAAAAATGGCACAAGACCTCTCAGACTGCTTAGGTGTTTCAAAACTGTATTTGAGATCCCAGTCGCCCTGCACAGCTCTTCTACAGCTGTAATACAAGAATGATAAGAACATAAGAAAGGTTACAAGTGACAGGTGGCCATTCTCCCACTAAGCCTGTTTGGTAGGTAGGAGTTAAGTTATGTGAAGTAGCACGCCCTGTAGCCAAGCCATGAAATGTGATTGACGCTTTTCTGCCTTTACTCTCAATAAAAAAATGCACATCTCATTGTGCAGCTACAGAACCCCCTTTCTCCTGCCGGTATCCCAGGTGCTGCAGAACTGTTATTTGTTTTCCCAGAGATTTCTCGGTCGAGAAGCACCTGCCATCCTCTTGCCTGCAGCCTGGTGGGATGATCACAGCGGAGCAGCTGCAGGTCTTCCTCACCAGCATGGGCCTCCTTGTTAGTGAAGAGGAGTTCTCCAGGCTCTGGGCAGGGTGAGCTCTGAACCTTCGTGGGAAAAGTCCTTGTTAAGCATGTTTCAAAACCAGGATGCGCAGAACAGAGGAAGGCCCTCAGTGTCCCAGGAGATTTGCCCTAGATATGCCATATAATTCTTCAGACATGGCAATCCTTGACACATATCATGCAGTTTGCCTTCGGTTGTGTAACCGCTTGGGGAATCTGAGGCAAAGAGGTGTATATTTATAATTATGCTTTTCCCTGTGTTTTTTTAATTTATGTACATGCTTAGCTCTTATGTGATTTATTACCTATGGATATAAATACACTGGTTTCCGATGCTCACACAGAGTTTGCACACAGACAGCTACTGTAGCTATTGGAATGTGGCAGAATTACTGTACCTTTCTAGCTCTTTAAGAAAGCAATGAGTTTCAATTAATAAGGAAGCAATTAAGCAGATTATGTTTGAATACTCTGTGAGTGTTATTTGCCATTTTACAAAGTATTACATTCTGTTTTGTGATATATGTACTGGACATATTACTCCTATGTCTTTTGCCCAGTTGATGTAACAGAATCCTTCCCAAAGCAGTAACGAATACAAAAGTGGACAGAAAAAAAGCTTTGTGAGCATCTCCGTTCTTTTGATGAAGGTTGGAAATTGATGTGCTGTATCGGCGTATGTTCAGAGATGTCTTCTGAACTTGGCAAATGAATCTCCCAGTGCAGCACAGTCCATTTTTGTAGGTGTTATATAGCTGTGGAACGTACTGCTACAGGCAGATTTCATTAACCTGATCACAGCTTTCTTGTCTTGTGCTGACAAATCAGGGATGTGGCTTTGTGTTTCTGCGCGTTACACAGCCCTGCTCAGTGATCAGGTAACAGGATCTGTAAAAGAAATATTGGATAAATGCTCAGTATCCCATTAGCTGTACAGCAGTATGCATTACTACAGAATGCTGATGAGTGGTCCCTTCACCTCATCTCCTGAAGAGGCCAGGGAATTAATTTTGTTTGACTGAGTATATTTATCATTCCGATATGTCCACTGTATGTGCTGGAAATTGCTTGGTTTCTGGGAGCTTTTGGTTCATTTTTGTATAGTTTCTGAATTTTGTAACATTTCACTGACCCATTAGAACCCTTTTTAGTTCTGTAAGAATTAGGCTACATTGCTGTAGTGTCAGATTTTAAGAACATGTCAGGAAACAAACAGCATGATGTAGAAGAAATTCCAAATATCCACATTGCATAAGAAAACTTTGGAGCATATGAAACCTCAAATTAATTTTTATATATACAGTACAGTGTGTTGTGAACAGTATGTATCAGCAGTGAGGTCAAGTGAATTTCCATTAGTCTATATCACAATTTGTGCGGTGCAACCTCACTGTAAGGAAGCTTAATGTTTTTGTCAACTGCATAGTGATGGTGAGAACATGCTGTACAGTACACTTTTTTCTTCTGTACACAGGATATTATTACTTATCTGGGACACCAGGCACAGCTCATGTTTCCAGAATGACCTTATGTAGGCAGTCAGTCACGGGTCGTGTTACACCGCCTGCCTTTGTCTCTGTGTACAGGGAAGAAGAGGTGTAGAAACTTAGTCTCGTCCAGGGGCCAGACAAAGTTTCCTCCTTCCTGATTCTTCCACTGACTGAGTTTCCAGCACTGAGTGCCGAGTCTGACTTTCATATTTTCAGAATTATTCAGTATGTTTGTCTGGTCTTTTTTTAACACAGGCATTAAAAGCTGACATGCTCTCCTTCTTGCAGTAATGCATATTTTTAACTATTGTTTGGTTACCAGTGTTTTTAAATGTATAATAAATCTTGCAGGATTAAAAAGAATGGTCCTGAACACATCAGCACAGACTCACTCATCAGACAACTCGGGATAAACCCTCAAGGTGAAGCTTCTGTACCATTTCTTCCTATTCCCACCCTGTGTTAGTTCCAGTATTAAACATCTCATCCACATCGTATGCACAAATACAAAGAAGTGTGTTCTTGCAAACATAAAGATTTTCCAAAAAAGTTATGTTGGATTTGAAGTCTGTGGCTATAGTATGCTTTTTTTTTTAATTCAAAAACTACTTATTCACCATTTAGTATAGCCTTCCAGTGGTGTGGTGGTTAGGGCTGTGCCTTACAGCTCCAGGGTCACAGGTTCAAGTCCAGCCTGGGGAACCCTCTGTGTGGAGATTGCATTGTCTGTCTATATGGTCCTGTCCAGTGTATAGTCTCACACTTGGCTCCCTGTCCCCAGGCTGGGGAACCTGATCAGGAATGTGAGACTTTAAGATAATAGGTGGATAGACTGATTTACTCAGTACTTAATTAGCTGTTTAATGAGCTTAATTATATAATTTACAAGCAAAAATTATTCTTAATGTTGGTCAAAAAATAAATATTGCCAAAAAATAAAGACATTTGTTAACCTGCTGGGTGATTAATCAAAATGCTCTTCATGTTTTCCAGTCAAACCAGTCAAAAGTGAACAACCATGCAAGTCCAAAACAGTGTGGCAGAGAAGCACACCTGCTCTGACAGACTCCAGCTTTGAAGAAATAGTTACCAATCTGAGAGCAAAGGTACAGTGTGTTGAAAGAAACAAAATGTTGATTTCTCATTTTTTTGACTGATTTTAAGTGGACAGCACTTTTCATGGTTATTATTCAAAGTGATCTAACAAAACATTGAACCCACACTGTTAAAATATATTTCCGTAATTTTATCTTATTCTCATAATGAGGACATGAGCCAACAGATATAAAGGGATAGAGGACTTGCTACTTATTCTCCATGAGTTCGCCTGGGGGAGGAGGCAGGTCCCAGATCATCGCTGTCTCAGCCCCCTCACTTGCTGCACGAGGAGTGAACCAGGGGTCTGCAGCCAGAGGGCATTTAAAAATACGAGAGCAGAAGTGCGAGATCCGAATTGAACTCCTTCCCGAACATCTGTTTAATAGCATCATTTTGTGTCTCAGATTTTCTAGAACTTAGTCTGCTTCAGTACTGCTTTAATGTATGGGCGAAATCTGAAAGAAATTGACTGCGTGATGGCAGGCCTTCGGCAGACTCCCAGCCCTCACAGTCCCGCACTGCGCCGCCACAGAGCAGCTAACTACATTTGTGGCCCAAGCGCCTTTCATCACGTCGACCTCCTTTCTTGTTCCATCTGTGTACAGGGAAGGGGAGGTCTGGATGCTTAGTCTCGTCCTGGGGCAAGAATAAGTTTCGCTCCTCCTGACTCTGTCACTGACTGAGTTTCCATGGCCTTAGACACTGTGAAGTAGAGTGCCGATATATTTTCAAAATTATTCTGTGCAATACGTTTGTCTGGACTTTTTTTTTACACAAGCATTAAAAGTTGACATGCTCTGCTTCTTGCAGTCATGCATATTTTTCACACCAGCTGGTGTTAGAAACAGGATAGAGGGCTTTTCACTTCAGCCATCAGTGCTGCTCCTAGTGTATGAGGTGTGTATGATACACATGTCCGCTGTACTGCTCTGTGGAGCGTGCTAGCATGTCATCCTTGTGCATTAGCATACTGGACTGGCTTTTTGGCACAGACTGCTCTATCTTGCATTTAACATTGCAAACTCCTGCCCTGGGGAGAGTCACAGAAACATTGCATACTGTACCTTCCTTTTCTATCTATGGGTTTTATTTTTCAGCAGTGAACAATTTGAGAGGTGCAGGGGTGAGCTGAACTTCTATTCCATTTAGTTGACAGTTCTGGCTAAAACAAAAACAACAATCCTAGTAAATCTGCAATATCCAAATATATATACTGTAATATAGCTGTATAGTTTTCTAGGATAACTTAGGATAACAAAATTATCTCTGGATCAACACTGTATGAACTCAAAGTAGGTGCCCTTGAACCTTTACTCACTCTTGCAAGAGATCAAAGTGTCTAAAGGAGAGATTTGACAGAAACAGTTTGACAGTTTTATAGCTTCACGAGCTACTGTACGTCTTTAAATTTATCAGAATGATTTATTGCCAAAATTAAAAGGTTTTGTTTTGTAATGAATGTGAAGCAGAAAAATTACTGCTTAGTGTTGTTTAATTTCAAGTGTTCTTACACAAATAGTAAGAAGTAGTGTCATAAATGTGAAATGTGTAAGATCTGATAGGATTGTAGCAGTGCTGAGAACATACTGCCTTTGGGGCTTGACTGATGAGTGAATATAAAACAGATAATTACAGTAAGTCTGGAGAAAATCCAAAGTAATCGATCTTTACTCTTTCTTAATTAGAATTAGAGTTCCACAGTAAAGCAGACAGTGGCTAGATTTTAGATTACATGAAAGTTGCTCTTCCCTTGAAAAAACTTCCACGTAATTAACTCGATTCTTGTGGGATATTGAAAAGGCACTTTATTTCCCTTCAAAGTAAACTATAGCATCTGTCAGGAAACTATAGTGAGTGACAGGCAGGTGTGCATGGTGGGATATTAAACAGACAGAATACTGCAATTTTAAAAGCATGTTGCTGGTTTCAGGCTACAGTGATTATACAGGCATTGCTTAGTCAACAGCTTTCTGAGAGCTGCATTAGAATTGGGTTCTTGAAGTCATGCCCCAGCTTGTGAGCTCTCTTATTGCAGTTAAATCTCCAGTATAACATAATGAAACTTTAAAAATGACTAAAAAATGCATTTTATGTTGTTGCAACAATTTTTAACATCTGCAATTTAATTAAGTAAATCTGACATTCTGCTGTGTAGTTGACAGTGCTGCACAGTGTAGTGTATCCAGTATATAGCATCTAGTAATAGCTTTCTTGTTTGTTTTGCTGCAGTTGAATGAATCCTGCCTTTCTGTGCTCCACACATTTGCACAGTGTGACAGGGAAAAGACAGGCCTGGTAAGAGAGAAATTCTTCTAACGATTTTTGCTGCTGCTTTTTCTGTTTGGACTAAGTGATCCATTTACCCGTAAAAAAATGAAACATTTTTAACAAGTTCTGAACAAAAGCCTCTCCATTACAAAAAACCTGATGTGTATGCCTTCGTGCTATTTGATTATTAGGTCATTGTGATAATAATGTAGTTCCCAGTTCACCTCTGTGAAGTATTTTTTGTCACAGGTCACCCGATCTGCATTCCGACAAGCTTTGGCTCAGCTCAGTATCCCTATGGGAGCGATCGATCTGGAACATCTCTTAGCGAGGTACTGGAAAAGCTCAGCTATTTATCTGGCAGCAAATATCCTTGAGTCTTTTTAACCCACTTCACCCCTCGTCCTTGCTCCCAGCCTGTGCGTGGCTCAGGAGGGAAACCAGTGGCAGCTGCTCAGCAGTGTTTGTCTCGAATGGGTGTCTTGGAAAGACACTGATTGGTCCCAACATGCTGATGTCCGCTGTGTCTGTGGCCCCTCTGCAGCTGAACATCACTGCTCCTCTGAGTTCCTCTTCTTTTCCACTCGTCCATTCCAGATTCCCATGTTCATTCTCTACACTGATCTGTCTTTTTTTTTTTTGCAAAGTTTCCGGACCTTTCGGTTGGGAAAATTGTTAACGTTCCGGGTTTTTTTGGTTTTTTGGCCAACCAACCGGCTTGGGATGGTTTTGTTTGGCACTTTCGGGGCCGTTTTTCCGTTAGTTCTTTTCAGGGCCCGTTTCCCTTGTTTTTAGGGATTTTTTCATTACTTAAGGCGTTCTTTTTTTTTTAAAAATAGTAACACATTTTTTAATCTGCTGTTTAAAATAAAAGATTGTGGGCTCCATGACAGTGAGACAGTTAACACACCTACCTTACAGGTGTTGGGTCCTGGGTTCAACTCCAGACGCTGGAAGCATCTGTGTGGAGTATGCATGCTCTCTGTGCATTTGTGTGGGTTTTCTCCAGCCTCTCTCCAAAGATGTGCTGTCTGGGATAATTGATTCCTTTACATTGTCCCTGTAACAGATTTGTATAAAGGGTTTAGTTCCACCTTATATCTTATGCATCCAGACCAGAACAGTCGGCTAAGCTTTTATAAACGTTAACAATGTATCACGTAGTACTTTCTTTAAAACTAATTTTAATATTGAGCAGTATTTAAAATATTTAAAATTCGGTTGAAATGTATTAATTTACTTTACTTTGTGCTTGAGGATGATCTTCTTCCATGAGTCCCTATAATTGACTATAAAATAATATAGTTCAGGTGGGTAGCTGTGTCAGCATGCGTAGGCTGCAAAGGAACAAGTAATAGGTTTATTGCATGCTGAATAGAGAAGAAAGAAAACACAACGTTTCAGCTTCTTCGGGTGTGAGAAAGACAGGGCAGACAGCAAAGATAATACAGCACAGGACAACAACAGCCAGGAGAGAGGAGGAGGAGGGAGCAGGGGAGAGGCAGAGTGGCCAATCAAGTGGTGCGAGGTGGAGAGAGGTGAGGAGAGGTGGGAAACCAAACCTACACTATCCTAACTAACTAAAATAACTAAAATTATCCTAAAACTTGGCTCACACCTTCCCCCTTCTCTCAATGACAGACTTGTTTTCTTCTAATTCTCTCTGTTCATTTGTAGTTTTGGTTTATTACTTGTTCCATAAAATAATATAATTGACTATAAAATTGTAAAAGAGAAGAGAGACTGGGTTAGTTGCAGAATTTTCTGAAGTAGAAAAACACAGGTATACTGGTAACATCCCCGGATCTGTTTTCCCTTCTATCCTTTGATAAAAAAAATAAAAATGAAAAGTCATTATACAAAGAACTTGACAATTCCCAATAGATTCTACTGTGTACTTTTTTAAAGATGCTGGTGATTTCGGTGTTGCTGTGTTTGCACTTAACGTAGGTATTTAAGCACACAGGTCTTTTGCTGATCTAGTTAGTTCAGGACTCTGATCATAAAAGCTGTATTAATATACTTGCCTTGCACAAAAATAAGCTGCCGTGTCAGGTGACACGTTCAGCCCTCGTGAATACTACTGAGTGGCATGGGATCTGATTTTTTGTAAGACCCGTCCTACAGGAAGCACTTATATTTCAGCTCCACTGTTAGCAAATCTGTGTATTTTAGATGACCTGTCTTTTTTTTAAACACATTATTAAAAACGCAGTTTTCAGCCAGTCTTGTAAGTTCCAGTCTAGTTAGGCTATGCGATATAAGGCTTAAGGAGTTCAGGCTTCAGAGAACAGGTCGGTTTTTGTTTCCAGTAGGTCAGTGCTGTATGAGGACATGAATGTGTACAGAAAACACAAAATTACTGTGGGCTTAATCTAGCTTGTCTGTACTCAGACAGAAACACACACCTACATACTGTTCAGAGTATGCTACAGTAGATGGTGAATATTTGAGCCACAGACAGAACTCATTCTGGTTTCCATGATGTTAATCAAAGAGAGCCTAGATGGGACACTATCAAAGACTGGTCCCCTCGCACAACTGGGTGGACTGGAGCTGTCTGGGTAGAGTACTTAACACAAGAGTGTCTGCAGCAGGGGTCTACACCCTTAACCCACCGCTTCTGAGTCTGGAGACGTACCCCCTGTACTGCACTACTGTTGCATTTTAAAGAGTGAAGCACTTCAAATGTCCAGCGCTATACAAATGTCTTTTGCACAGCCCACACAGAATGAACTAGCTGAGTTCTGGGGCAGCGGCGTGGGGCAGCAGGTAGGGTTCAGGTCTTGGAGTTAGAAGGCTAGGGGTTTGAAGCCCAGGTGAGACACAGCTGCTGTACCCTTGA